TATATATATATATACACATATACACACACACTGTATATATATTTACTATTAATTTGGCCAATTACATGACACGGCTTGGTCATGTGATATAAACAAAGCGGCGCCCATGAGGGGTCGACCCGCTCCACGTATAACAAAATAGACAAATATGTCTGCAGTATACATCTCTCTCGTGAGCGTTCATGATTTGAAGTGTTTTCAAAACCGCTGTTTATGTGAGTGCACCCTTAATAAAGAATATTATCCAATAATTTATTATGAAGGTTATAGTCATCAGTATAGCTCAGGATGATAAAATGCTTTCTTATCTGCATGTCTGGTTTAATATGACATCAAACAAAGTGAGCCCAAGTGTTTTGTTTGTATCAAGTCACTCAGTAACTAGAAGGCAGTAAAACACACCTTTATGACACTCTAGCTCTACAACGCGACGCGATAAGAACGCATTCATTATAATCCCCTAGCGTCGCGCCACTAGCAGGGGTGTCATAAAGTATCAAATGGGTGTTATTAGCACTGACCTGTCTGGAGTTTCAGCGTTTGACTGTGCTGAGGTCGGTCGCTTATCCATTCTCTACTGTAGGCTTACAGAAGCGCAAAATAACGCTATGTTTCATATCCAACGCTCATCGTGTCTGGGTCTGCAAACGCTTGCCTCTGAAACTTTGTGACTCGCCGACGCTCAAAATCAGGAATCCTACTACGTCGAAGGGAATCGCTCATGAATACTAAATAGGGCTGTGCTGCATAACCTACCAATGGTGATGGTTTGCTCCTGAATAATAATTACACTGCGTCAATAGTTTCCAATGGCAAACACTCCGCTCATGAATATTAAAACTGCAGTCTTCAACGCAGTAGGATTCGTAAACTCGCCTCCCGCACCGCCACGCCAGCGCTAATAAATATTTACAAACTACGTTCCCCAAAATGCAACAGCGTGACAATACGAATTAAAATAATATAATAATAATTATATATATATTGAGGAAAAAAGAGAACATGTCTTCTGTGGGGTTTAACGCCCATCTGGCTCTGAACAAATCATTATTCCTCCAAATCCAAATCCTCTCCAAATCCCAAATCCCGCCTTTTTTGCGATGCCCAGGTAATGAGGAACACAGAAATAAGATGTCCTTACAACTATGCTTTCTTAATGTTGAATTTATTGTGTTTAAGTGTTGAATCCTCACTTTCCCTGAAATAACTTCCCTACATGTTACAAAAGCCCTGTTACCCCATTATAAATAAACACTATATAGGCATGTGACGGTATCACATTTTCATGCTACGATCATTAATGAAGCTTTTATCACGGTATACGTTATTATCACGATATTGAAATAAGTTGCAAAAAGTGTTGTCATAATACAGTATAACAGGTTTAATAACTTTTTTCTTACAACGAAAAAAACAGCATTTAAATACAATAAATACACAAAAATATATATAAAGTAAACAAATGCTTCAAACAGATTACAGAAGAAAAGAATTAAGAAACAATAAGATCACATTAGTTAACCTTAGTTAATGCACTAACATTAATAATGAGCAATAGCTGCATTTGTTACAGAAGTTATAATTCTTTGTTAAAAAATGCTGTTTTTTGTTCACATAAGCGCATGTCCATTAAATGATACTTTGATGCAGCTTACAGCAGTGTTGTGCATTTTAACCAGCTGATGGGAAAAGTATTCTTAAAATGCATAAAAAAAAAATAATCTGAATAATTTGTAATAAATAATTATTCACAGTATTTTGAAGTGCCCACAATAATATCGTGCATGTTCATTATCGTGATATTTTGTATTACCGAATACCGGCACATGTCTAATATATATATATATAAAGGTATGTAACAAATGCATTTTTTATATTTAAAGGTGACATATCATGAAAATCGGACTTTTCCAGGTTTTAAGTGCTATAATCAGGTCCCCAGTGCATCTACCAACCAAGGAAACGTGAAAAAGATTAACCCAGTAACTTTGCTTTGCTAAGCCTTTTTCTGCAAGCGTCTGAGAAAACCAGCGCGTCTGATTTCGCTCCCTTGGTGACGTGGCAAAGGGATCTCATCATAATATTACCGACCCTTAATCTGTAAGTTTTCACCCACTGCGCCGTTATGTTTTCGCAAGCGACAACGGTGTACTAGCTCCAATGCCATGGCGAAAGTTTGAGCAAAACATGCTAACGGTTCTGTCATTGGCTGCACAGAACACTATTTAGAGTCCCAGCCTCAGAGGAGACAACAGAGCAGTGGATTTATTGATTTATTTAATGTATATTGCTGCTGCCTCTGCAAGCGTCTGAGAAAACCAGCGCGTCTGATTTAGCTCCCTTGGTGACGTGGCAAAGGGATCTCATCATAATATTACCGACCCTAATCTGTAAGTTTTCACCCACGGCGCCGTTATGTTTTCGCAAGTGACAACGGTGTACTAGCTCCAATGCCATGGCGAAAGTTTGAGCAAAACATGCTAACAGTTCAGTGGTTGGCTGCACAGACGAGCACAGAACACTGTTTAGACTTATATTACATATTGTAAAAAGGGGCATAACATGTCTCCTTTAATGTTGAAAAAAAACAACCTGCACACATTAGATACATTGCAAATCTCCAGAGAGGCACATCTCAGTGTCTCAGACACAAATACACTACTGAATACTTTGTTTCACTGTTACGGATGAGAAGGAGCAGAGGGCAAAAGATGAACTGGGATGTGTACCGTCCACACATCTTTATGGCCCCTGGAATATATTGGTTCATTGAGCCACCGGGGGTTTGAGAGTCTTGTGAGGTATTTCATTTTGAGTTCAGTCAAGCAAGCTGCTGTTTCCAGCTCTCTCATCTCTTCACAGGGAATGTCCTCAGGACAACACCACGTCTCCCCAACATCCACAAGACCTGCACGTATACAGTGTCAAATAAACAAACACGTATAAAAACATACACAAATAATAACATCAGAAAGCGGAGGATAAGCTTGATGAGGAGCTAAACAGAGCCATAAATTGATATTATGCTTTTTTTGATAACATAATTTCAATACCTGAACATCATGTTGCAGTATCTATCTATCTATCATTTGCAATTTATTGATATTTATAAGTATAATAAAATCAAACTTTGATGTTGGCTTGAGAAAGTACATACGTACTTGATGTTTCAGCGCTACCTTTAATAATGATGAACTTATATTAAGTTTACTATTTATTTATGTCTGTCTACCTATGTGTGTGTATATATATACGACCTGAATATATCTAAATAATATCTTCACCCAAGTTGATTTTTTTAAATTAATTTACATAAATTGATGCACATAATAAATCCTTATATTATACAAACATTGCAATTATTAACAAACCAGTGTAGATTTCACCTGCTATAACACCACGCCCGAACCTTTCTCCAGACTCCAGCAGTTCCTCGGTTTGCACGGCAGTCATTCCCAGTCGTTCGGTGAGGATGAGTCTCCAGTCCTCTCCCTCCCAGCTCTTCTGAGCGATGTGAACCGCTAACGTGCAGTTCCGCAGCTCTGACAGCAGGGGCCGCCAGCGGCTCTCTAGCGCTTTCACACCATTCAACACAAGAGTAGCGTACGGCTGGCGAAATGACAAGCAAGCCACCTCTAGACTCATACCGAGAATTTAATATTCACCTCTTCATCTACAGAAAGGTAGAATAACACGTTTTAGGTACGTTGCAAATACAGCGCATTCCCACCAGATGCTAAGTACTTTATAGCTACTTTCCGGTAACAAGTCTAAACGCGTCGTGTTGAACGATTGGGTAAAGCGCTTCCTGTTTTTAAACAGTCTCTCCAAACAAGACAAGCCACTGTTAAAAAAATTAAGAACTGACGAAAGAAACAGCTCCCGCTAGCGCTGTGAATTAAAACGACCACTGCTGGCAACACAAATAAAACCGGGCAGTAATATACGATTCATCAAATGATCCTTGTCGTTTACATTTATTTATTTCACAGTTTTGGGTTTTTGTGGGGTTTACAGTACAATGGTTTACAAAATCCTATCAACTAATTTACTGTCCAATGGAAGATAATATTTGAACGACTGCACTAAAACACGTAAATCTATTTCTCAAAACAAGAAATACAACAGACTGTGTCTAGTATTAAATAGAACACCTCATTTGTTTAGTCACTGACCAATAACAAGTTATTTCAAACCTAGTAGGTCTAATGCAAGTCCACAGGTCACCTTCCCTCCTCCAAATCAGCTCCAGTTCCGCCTCCTGTCCTCAAAGGCTCTGGAGAACTAAGTGTACGTGACTCCATCATGCTTTCCTCTGTTCCTGGAGCTTTTTGGGCCTGATGACTCTCTACCCTTTCAGTAGGGAAGCCCTTTCATCAACCTCTGTAGTGTTTCCAGCTATCGCTGAACATTCTCAGCGTCTCAGGCCCATCAGTAGCTGCTTTCATGCCCCGTGAGGATGTACAGGTTGCTCATGGCAGACGGATCATCCGTAGGAGTACTTTGCAAGATAATATCCCTGTAGTAACATTAAATTATTAGTATATGATTCCATTTGTCTATTACCAGACATGTTGCTAAACTACAGTGGGAAGACATACCTAGTTGTTCCCAAAGCCTGAAAAACCCGACTTCTGTCTGTGATCTCCTGGGTAACCTGAGGTAAACAGCATAATATTCCATCATTTCTTGCTTCCTCATACATCAGTGAAGCCCTCATTGTTTCTAGACGTCAGGTTTACCTCATTAGTTTGTAAACTCCTTCCTTTCAGACCGTGCTTCCAGAAGGCAAGGACACTGTCCTGTAGACACACTACAAAGACAACCGCATTACCACCAGATGCAACAGAAAGAGGGCTGATTCTAAATAGACATAGCAAACATGATGGCTATCTAATAGCGACGACACACCAAGCTGACATCAAATAATTAGCAGCGATGAAAGCCGGCCGTGTTATTGCCTCATGCCAGCTTCATCTGGGCTAGAACGTTGTGCTTCAACACACCACCTTGTGCTCTTGACTTCAGTTTTGTTTTTCTTCTCACACACGGGTTCACTAAAGCTGAACAGCCAATCAGAGTAATCTCTCTCAACCAACTGGCTCAACATGCTCAGCAGCTAATTTGGGGAAAGGTACTTTTAAAAGTAATTCATTACGATATTGCGTTACTTAGTTACTTTTTATGGAAAGTAATCTGTGCTGGGCTTGTTTGTTTGTTTTTAATATAAAAAAGTTATATTTTTGTCAAATTCCCGATTTCTCTCAACATGGGGACAGGAGAGCTGTCAGTCAATAAATGGGAAAACAAAGTAACTGGCATTACGTATTGGAAAAAGTAACTTTCTTGTAAATTAAAAAGTAATAGATTACTTATTTCAAGTAACTAGTAAAGTAATGCAATTATTACTTGTAATGCGTTACCCTAAAACTTCTCAGTTGAAAGCTGTGGACAGTTCTCCAACTAGTGGCAATGGTGCAGAACAGACAGCAAAAACTAGGCTGAGAGATGCTCAAAGACGGCCTGGCATTTGCCTGATGTGTCACATCCTTCACAGGGCTTACCCAGCGTCTGAATGGGAAACTCAAATGCAAGTTCAGAAGTCTTCTGATGGCTCACACATCCCTGTAGATTCACAACCTTCACTGTGTCTGAAACAAAACGGCTTGTTAAAGGATTTGAGTAGTGGAGTGGAAAAATAAAACAAGGTTTAGAGATGCGTTTTTAAAAGTTGAACATTGCATTTTTAGAATGCAGTGTCATGTATGAGACACTGCAAAAGAGCCGAGGCGTGAACACAACAGTCAAACAAGTTTAAAAACATGAGACGAAGGGTAATGGAATGGAAAACAAAGAAGCAAGGTCTAGAAATGCATTTTTACAAAGGCTCATGTGTCATGTAGTGTGAAGTCATGTGGTGCAACCAACATGCAGAAAAAACCATGAAAAAGGACATTACAGCAATTACAGAGACAGGACATTACAGAGAGGACCCCAGAAGACCCTGTTGATGACCACTTAAAAACATGATATTTATGCATTAATGATTCATACATTTGTCAAAAAATTATTTTATGTTGTAGAACATATTTAAAAACTTAAAAAAAAAAAAAATTATTAAGATGTGCATACTCAGGGTGTATTCATAGTGTAAGTGAAAAATATAATATTGATTTTTTTATTGCACCACATAACATTTTGTTTCTCAAACCACATGAAGCCAACATGAATACAAAGAACACATTTCTAAGACCTTGGCTGAAACAGGAATAACATGATTAACAAACACAATGGAAATAGATAAGAAAATATGACATTTTAAAGCCAGTTTGAGCATTAGGGGTGATATTTATTATCAACAGTAATTAGATAATTGCTGTTTTAACGATGTGTGAGCTGACATTATGTGCGGTGTGATAAAGCAGTTTAAATGCCCCTATAATGCAAGGTATTAAAGCAAAAAATATCCCTGTTTGGGTTTTTGTTTTTATAAGACATGTATTTAAGTAATATCACACAAGCTGAGCGTCGTTTCCTGAATATTAGTGAGTGAGCACAATCAGAAATGTGATTTCATAAAAAAGTTCAACAAATAAAAAGTTAATATTGAGTGAGTTACATTTTATACACAATATTGTCTGTTTTTTTCCCGTTACACCAGCGAACAGAGATCCAAAGAAAGCTGGAGCTGGACATTTGAGTGTCTCAGAGCAACACTGCTGTATTTCGTTCCCGAATGAATCTGTTTTTGAACCAATCATTTGAGTCATCATCCTTTCATAAAGACATTCGCTTGCTTTGTTTCTAAATGAATCAGCCATTTTGAACGAATTGTTTGAATGAATGAGTCAATGAATCACTCATTAAGACAGGCACTTGCCGCCACCTACTGGCGGTTTTAGTGTCATATTTATTTTTCCACCAGCCAAAGTAGCAGCACAAAAACCACACTCAGCAAAATTATCGCATTAAAGTGCCCCTATTATGGATTTTTGAAAAATTACCTTTCATGGAAAACAAAGAAGCAAGGTCTAGAAATGCATTTTTACAAAGGCTCATGTGTCATGTAGTGTGAAGTCATGTGGTGCAACCAACATGCAGAAAAAACCATGAAAAAGGACATTACAGCAATTACAGAGACAGAGGACATTACAGAGAGGACCCCAGAAGACCCTGTTGATGACCACTTAAAAACATGATATTTATGCATTAATGATTCATACATTTGTCAAAAAATTATTTTATGTTGTAGAACATATTTAAAAACTTAAAAAAAAAAAAAATTATTAAGATGTGCATACTCAGGGTGTATTCATAGTGTAAGTGAAAAATATAATATTGATTTTTTTATTGCACCACATAACATTTTGTTTCTCAAACCACATGAAGCCAACATGAATACAAAGAACACATTTCTAAGACCTTGGCTGAAACAGGAATAACATGATTAACAAACACAATGGAAATAGATAAGAAAATATGACATTTTAAAGCCAGTTTGAGCATTAGGGGTGATATTTATTATCAACAGTAATTAGATAATTGCTGTTTTAACGATGTGTGAGCTGACATTATGTGCGGTGTGATGAAGCAGTTTAAATGCCCCTATAATGCAAGGTATTAAAGCAAAAAATATCCCTGTTTGGGTTTTTGTTTTTATAAGACATGTATTTAAGTAATATCACACAAGCTGAGCGTCGTTTCCTGAACATTCGCTTGCTTTGTTTCTAAATGAATCAGCCATTTTGAACGAATTGTTTGAATGAATGAGTCAATGAATCACTCATTAAGACAGGCACTTGCTGCCACCTACTGGCGGCCGCAGATTAGCGTCACGCAAAGGAGGGGTTTGGAAAAATGAATCGTTGAGCGAATCGTTTGGGAGTGAGCAAGTAAGGTAAAAATAAATGCATATTATTAGACAATGAAAGTGTTTTTTGACCTTGCATGCATGTCAACCTGTTGTTGGGGACTCCCAAAATCAAAATATGAACCTTTCATTACCCATAATAGGGGCACTTTAATTATCATTGTTGAAAAAATCCCAGAAAATATAGAAATTATATAACAAATTATATAACAAATAATAACAAAAAATTTTTGGTCAGTATCAGACACCCCTATTGAGTATACATACAAAGTGCTTCAAATGTCTCCGTGAAAACAAGCATTTCTTACTATTCAGTGCAATGAGAACTGTGTCCCTGTCGAGCTGAATCACTTGCTTGACCTCCAGAGACTCCCCATCTGTGAAGTCACATAACTCAGTCAAGCAAAACACACCGCTGATCAGTCTACGTCACTGTGGCAATGCAAATCATAAAGCTCACTTGAAATTTTGTAAAAAAGCAGTGTTTTGTGTGTGATTTTTGATGTATATCCACACATATGCAGCACCTGGCAGACTTTGTGGCGTGTCATCCAGGTGGATGATGTCAAAGTGCATCTGTCCAGTGTTGTCTTTTTGGCGTGGACGGCTTCTCACCCCCACACAGACCTGTGGCAGCTCTTCTGTTTCATTTACGAGCAGCTCAAAGATGGGCAGAGACTCTGGCAGATTCAGAGCAATGTGCTGAGAGAGAGAGAGAGAGAGACAGGAAAATTACGCAACAGTGCGGATATTTTTAACATTTCTATCACTCTTATCTCTCATTTCTCACCTTGAGCTGCATGAACTTCTGCAGAGGTTCATACC